CCCAAGGTAGAAAGGGGCCTTAAAAGTAGAAAAGGATGATGTGACCATGGAAGAAAGATCAGAGAAATGCAGTGTGTGGCTGGAAGGGACTAGGAGCCAAGGATTGTGGACAGTCTTAAGACAGTGGAAAGAGGAAAGACATGGATTCTCTCTGGAAAACTTCCAGAAAGGGACACAGCCTGCCAGTCCCTTAACTTCAGCCCATTTCTGCTGTTTAAACCACTAAGTTTGTGGTTAATTTTTACAGCATCAATAGAAAGCCATATAGCTATTTTCATCATTATTATGACTTCTAAAATATCATAGTCATTTATAAGGAAAAAAATCCTCTTTAAGGTATTAAAGAAAAAAAACTATAAAGATTTAACTAAAGTAAGTAGAAAAACTGTCACATACCCATTTTCTTGAATATTAATAGATTAAGTCTTAACTTTGTATTTGATTTCGGGAGATTTGATTTGGGAGAGTCATAGTCCATTGCCTGTAGTCCAGAGCTGCCTCTTCCTGTTGTCCAATATCTGCTGTATTTTCCTCGGGTAGAAATCGCAGGTCCTAGATCCTTGAGACATGCAGCAACTCGGATTTTGTTTCCTTTCACTGTTTTAGCAAAATTAAGATCTGAAAGGTGGTGTTTGATTTTTTTCTCTCTGGTGTAAAAATAGCAACTGTTTTCCATAGCCTTTTGCATCTGAGTTTGTGAGCATGTTGGAGTTGCTGCTACAGGCACATTTTCAACAACAAAGAACACAAAAGCTGTTACCAGTAGCCAACAGATTTTGCTTGAATTCTCATCTGCTGCTCAGATGCTACTGACTTAGTTTCTTATTTAAAAAAGATGGATTGCTCTAAGGATCTCTAGGAGTTAGATGTGTGGTTTAAATGTGTATCATTTTTTCCATTATCTGCATCTCACAGACGCTCTCCTGAGTGCAGGGCTTTAATGGAGGTAGTGCAGTTTTACCACGTACTGTGGCACTTGGCCAAGGGCACGAGCTGCCACTGAGTTTCTGCCTCCCTCTCCTCACCAAGCCACTCATCGTGGAAGTGCGAAGGTGTTAGCAGGGGCCTTGTCTTGCCTGTGGAAAGCTGAACGTTGTGTGCTTTCCTGGCACTCGCAGGACCCCCTGTGTCGATGACATGGAGCAGCACCTATTCCCCATCCTTTTGAAAAGATTGTAGGGGGCGGGGGGATCGCATTAATTCACGTCTTCATATGTGTTGTCTGGTTCCAGGATGCTTACACTTTGCTGGTTTCAGGATTACCTCTTTGCAGATTCAACTGTGGCTCTTAACATAGGCTGTGTATCGTTGTGGGAAAATACGCAGCTCAAGGATCTGCCAACTTCGGTGATTTCCCTGTATCCTCTGTTGACCTGCTGTTGAAAGAGAATTTTTGAGGATCAGTGGGTTTCATTGTACCTGCAGGAAGATCCACCGGTGGTCCCTTGCAGCCCTAGGGGAAGTTCAGGCCCCTCCGTAGACAAGCCCGTGGCTGTCAGGCCCACAGCGCCCTCCTGGGCTCAGGCAGATGTTTTCTAAGGACTGAAGATCGGTATCCTTTGGCTGAGAAAATCTTGCCCTGTCTCAAGTGGAAAACTCAAAAGTCCATTCTTGGTTTCTTAATTATTTGATAACCTTGTCAATCCTTACATTCTTTAAACTGAACCCTGTCGCAGATGTGTATCTAAAATCCATCCCTTTATATCGTAGCTGCTGTGTTCTCCTCTTGATATGGTAGACCGCTCACTTCAGAGACCTCTGGACTATCCATTTGTTCTGGATGCGAATGGGAAGGCCTGATGGCAACTGTGAACCTTATTCTCTGCCCTTGGAGTGACTTGGTTCTCAAGGGAAGTGTGCCTGGGAAACTCCTTTTCTGATGGATCAACAAAGAACAAAGTGTAAAGCCTGCCCATAGGAATTTCATTTCTGTTTTCAGTATATATGTTGCCCATATTCATTTGATTAGTAATATATATTGAATGCCTCCTTTTGGCCAAGCACATTCATGGTTACTCTTCAGTTACTTAACACCAGTTATTAAAGGCCTACTTTACATCAGGTGCTGTTCTAGGCACTGAGCATGCAGCAGTAAAGTCCCTGCTTTGATGGTCCTTTTTTTTTTAAATCTTACCAAAGGAAGGCAAAGTCTAAGACTTTTGAATTTCCTGTGGTGAGTTTAAAACAAAAACAAGCAAAATATCACAAAACATCTAAACCACCTGTAACGGTGAATTTCCCAGGGAGTGATCGGGTATTTGCCTAGGATATGTCTGGGCCAAAGCAGTATCTTGTCAACTTAAGGGAACCAACAGTCAATTTATATGGCGCCGGACAAGACCTCCAGGCCATGGCTCTTGTGGAATTTACATTCCAGTGAGGGAGAGAGAATAAACAACTCACTCAAAAGAATTGAGATTACTTCAGGCTGTCGTAGATGCTGTGAGGAAGGTGAAGTCAGAAGGGATGGTGTCCTCTCCCCTTCAGTGACTGTCTGCCAGCCTCGTACAAAGTGCATCTGCCCAGGATACACTGAATTTCCAGCTGATACCTTATCAGAACTTAGCACACTGTGGTACTAATGCCAAATCACTTTACGCCTGCTTTTTTTTTTTCTTTTTTGCAGGATATGAATATGGAAGGTTATTTTTAAATCAACTTCACATAAACCTATAACAAAAAAGCAAGCCCAAATCATTGTGTTTTAGTATACAAAGCCCTATCATACCTGAAGTAAACATTCTGAAGACACCTGGTCTGTAATCTAAACGGTGAACTTGATTTGTAGCTGTTTGAATTAACTCCATTCCTCCCAGCCCATCAGTTAGATATTCTTTATTATTTCTTCTTAACTCAGCTAATTAGGAATACCTCAGGAATACACTGATTCAGTTTCTACACTGAAAAACCTAAACCATGAACCCGAATGACAAGGGTATTTTTCAAAATCCAGAGGCTTCACCTTTTTATTTCTAAGCTTTGCAAATGCTAAAGCATCTGTTTAATTCATTTTATACTAACACATACTACAGACATACCTCATCTTATTAAGCTTCACTTTATTTTGCTTTGCAGATACTGTATTTTTCACAAATTGAAGGTTTGTGGCAACCCTGCATCGAGCAAGTCTGTTGGTGCCATTTTTCCAATAGCATTTGTTCACTTCACTTCTTTGTGTCACATTTCAGTAATTCCTGCAATAGTTCAAACTTTTGCATCATTATTATATTTGTTACAGTGATCTGTGATCAGTGACCTTTGATGTTACTAACGCAAAAAGATTACAGCTTGCTGAAGGCTTAGATGATGATTAGCATATTTTGGCCATAAAGTATTTTTTAATTAAGGCATGTGCATTGTTTTTTAGACATAATGCTATTGCACACTTAATAGGCCACAGTATAATGTAAACAACTTCTATATATGCGGGGGAACCAAAAAATTTGTGTGACTTGTTTTATTGCAATATTGACTTTATTGCATTAGTCTGGAGCTGAACCTGAAGTATCTCTGAGGTATGTATGCCTGTGTATGTCTTATTGAAACTAGAAAACTCTGTATTATGGCATCCTGCTGTGAAGTGTTTTACAAAGAACACACACACACACACACACTCACTCACTCACTCT